CGCCCCCTACGTCGCGCAACGCAAACTCCCCGTCATCCGCCGGTTCCCCCTGGTGGCCCGTCGGTTCGTCGGACGCCGGCGGCAGAGGCGGCTCCAGCTTGCGCGAGATGAGCGTCGCGAGGTTCGTCTCGGAGATGCCACGAGAGGGCGCCGCCGTCACGAGGCTCGCGCGGCTGCTCGGCGCAGAGCTGAGTTGGAAGCGCGGCGTGCCGTCGCCCCGATCCGAGTCCGAGTCCGTGTGGCGCCCCCAGGCGATGGCAAAGTCCAGCTCCGAGTCGACAAAGTACATAGACGAGTTCGGCGCGCAGTAGCGCGAACTATCGGTGCCCTGGTGCATCGTCTCCGAGTCGTGCGCGGACACGGGCCGCGAGGGGGCGCCGCCGTTCACCTCGTCGCCGCTCGTGCGACGCCGGAAGTCGGCGAGGATCTGCGAGACCTTGCGCGCGACCGACGCGACCCTCGGGAGGCTCCAGGGGTCGGGGGTCGCTGGATCCGCGGCGCGGGGCGACCTCGCGCCGGCAGTGGAGCGGCGGCCGTGACGCGGATGCGGGGCGAGTGACGCTGAGTCCCTCGCCGCGGCGGACTTTCTGGGCAACGTAGGTGGCGCTGTGATACAGAGCGAGAAGCGGGATGAGTTGCAGGGAGGAGGGTATGGGTGGGTGGGGGGAATCTCATATCGCTTCACACGGCCTTTAAAACGGCGTGTTCTCGCAGCAATAAGAACATTTCGTGATGTTTGCATGATACTGCAAGTATACTCACAGTAGGTGTATGTAGGCTTTTTGTTGCGAGGTTTATCCATTATGCCACGTTATCATATGTGACCCGAGAACTTCTAGCTGTTACGTTTCAATTCGCTCTGTCCATGTGGCCCCCGATTGCGAACAATTCGTAGCCAGCCTGATTATACGTACGTGCGTATACAATATACACACCCAGGAATCACATGTGAACGAACAATGTGCAGTTTTCTCACCAGAGGGCGGCGCCATCGTCGTCTCGGCAGTGCGGCGGCAGAGGTGCAGACGACGACTCGCTGGCGCAGAGCAGAGCTGGGAGTCGTGAAGCAGCTGCTGAGGTTGACCCGTGAACGATACAGCTGTCAGGAGATGAAGGTAGACACGTACATATACACATATCTCCCTCCTCACTGCTGAGGTGGACCCGTGAACGATACAGCTGTCAGAAGATGAAGGTAGACACGTACACATACAGATATCTCCCTCCCCACTGCTGGGGTGGACCCATAAACGATACAGCTGTCAGGAGATAAAGGTAGACACGTACATATACAGATATCTCCCTCCCCACTGCTGGGGTGGACCAGTGAACGATAGAGCAGTCGGGACTCGCAAGGAAAGCCGATAACAAGAAACACGTGCTTCTCACTGTCTCTCTCTCTCTCTCTCTCTCTGTCTCTGTCTCTGTCTCTGTCTCTGTCTCTGTCTCTGTCTCTGTCTCTGTCTCTGTCTCTCTCTCTCTCTCTCTCGCTCTCTCTCTCCTCTGTCATTGCCATCAACCAATAAACATAACAAGCCACTCCAACTCCTGTAGTGTGCTCATTATTAACAGAAGTACATGAATAGATTCATCTCTAGTCAGGTTGCTATTTTTAGCCAACACCTATTGTGATTAGACAAAATCTATTATTAATCCCTAATAACTAACCCCCATGATGACTCACACATCATTCTGACGACTTCGAGCTCCTCCTCCAACATCAGGCATCCCCGCATGAAGGCCTGGCCAAGAGATGACAGCTCGGAGATGCTTAGTTCGATCAGCAGCCCATAGGGGTCGCCACCCTGCCACGCGAGCGGCGCGGCACTGTCACTTAACTGCCAACAGGTAGAAAACGTCGGTGCAAGAAACATGCATAATTAGCATAAAGGTATTCAATATATTCACTGCTATATAACAATCATATCTATATACACCTGCTGCTACATATATATACGTTTACATTTGAACTACATGTAGACTTACCTACATGTACACATATATATATATACATATACATACAAATATATATATATAAATGGCAATATATATATAAATATATAAATATGTCTGGCAAAAATGTTAATGGCTAACCATATATATATAAATGCATGTACACACACACATGTTATTACTTGTTTATGTAACCATGCAACAGAATGTGTGCACGATTAATTATTTGTACCTATTGCCATATCCACCTGTACATGTACATTATTTACATATATACATATTGTTACACACATACATACACATTATATATTCATATACATATATACATTATCACATATATATACACACTCAAACCTGTATTACTGTACAATTCATCAGGGACACCAGGGCAAGTAAGGAGGGCAACTATAGCATGTGCCCATCGGTGCCATGGTGAAATTCGACCCCTCTCCCCCAGCCCTCACCTTCAACATCTTGCCCTGCTTCGTTCCCACACTGGCTGTCACTCTATCTGCCACCAGGGGGCGCTGGCGAGCCTCCACAAGTACGAGCGTCTTGTGTCGCGACACGGGAACTCTGACGGGTAGATCACGATCCAAAAACAGCGTCCACGTGTCGATGTTAACTTGTTGCTAAGACAAAAAAGACACGTTTAAAGGGAATGTCAACTTTGCAATTTAACTATTGATTTTATCTAGGTTTTAATTTTATATTACAGATTCTATCCATATTCTACTTCGAATATTAATTTTATATAAAATTATCTAGCTTTCCTCGACATTGGTTATTAATTTCATATTAAATAATCTAGCAATTTTTTACCTCGGGTGTGAGGAGCAGCACCGACCTCGATCCCTGTCTCACCAATGTTTGCTCGGATGCACGGCCATCAACGTCTGCTCCAAGGAACGAGGATCGACTGACCGCCTGCTGCAGGGTCTGACTCCTGTAATGCAGACACATGCTAGAGCTAGGATGGGTTTTATATTATGATGCACTCTATGATCGGTTTTTACCCGCTGTAGTTTTAATGTTAAACTACTTAATGTGTAGGGTACCGTAAGATTTTAAATACTCCAGACACGGTGAATAATCGCTCATTTACTAAAAATAAAAATAAAAACTCTTCTAAACAATTTCCCTAACCATAAACCGAACTTATTCCAAGCCTTACTGTAACACTAACCCTAACCCTAACCTAATTCTAACCTAACCCTAACACCAACCACATCCTTACCCCTAACTTTAAAACTGCATTTCCTCGAAAAATTGTCATAAATGTTCGTGGACACACTACCAGTTGTTGATTGCCACATAAAAATGTTTCAAAAACGCCACGTTTAGCACAAAGAAGCCTTGTGAAGGGATGAATGTACAAATGTTGTGTCATCATTACTCCATGTAAAATCGTGGGACACTTTTGCCGATGTCAACAACGAATCACAAGGTTCAAACAAGGAAGCTTTTGTGTTGGATCCATCTGTTCAAAAAAAATTTACGCACGAAGTGCTTGCATAGAACAATGCTTTGCGTATATACATTGTGGATTTTAGGAGAAAGCAGCTGTAAGTACTAGAGCACTCGGAGAGCACAGACCTCCGCCAAGGCAGCTGAATTCTCTCAATGTGAAATTTTTTATTAATTAATTACATAATTAAGTGGAAAAATTAATTGATTGATTAATTAATTAAATAATTAATTGGATCCGAATTAGTGCGAGCGTGCAGGTGGGGGAGGACTGTGGTTGCCCCTTAGCCTGTGGTTGCGTGTTTGTAAGTCTACAGCCAGCGCACCTAGCGGAAGTGAACTGAAACGTGCATGGTAACACACAAACCCACAAACCAACACTCAAAGACACGCCGGTGAAAACATAACCTCCGCCAAGCCCCTGGCGGAGGTAACAAGAAATATTCAGCGTGAAAGGTGTGTCGACATTTATACACTACCCTAAAGCTTCAACAGTGTATCTCTATTTGACAATAGCACAAAATAATGAATTTAAAACATAAAATGGAAATAGAGTTGCAACGCTGACCTGAATACGACGCTGCCTCTTGCCAGGTGGCGCTGCACGAGCTGCAGCCACGCCATGTCGTCGCGTAGCTCGCGGCGACGTATCGCCCAGCCGAGATACAGGTAGCAGATGGTGATGAACATAGCGCTGCAGCCGCCAAGGTCACTGGGTCATCCAGGGTCACGACCTTGCTGTCATCTGCAAGTGGAGACAGAAGGGTCAAAAGAAGGGGTCTCTCTTCCACTGCGGCGATGCTGGAAAACAAGTACGGTCGGGTGTCTGCATGCATGCATTGTACTGCATTAGAAGAGAGAATTAGAAAGGAGAATTAAAATATGCTCCAAATAATATTCACCATGAATAGTTTGATACCTCAATTCGCTGCCAATAATAAATACACCAGCAATAGAGGCCACGACACATGCACACACCCAGCCAGATTTCAAAGAAAGTGCCGCTGAACACAGTACGTAGGTTATGGAATCTTGGCGCTAGCAGAAATCACGTTGGCGATATTTACCTACCACCTCGGACAAATGGCAAAGTGAAACAAAATCAAATGTGAAAAATAACGCCGAAAAATTGGCAGAGAAAATACCAAAGAGAGAAAACCTCGAGACACAAGACAAGAGGTTGCGTAAACATCATGGCGACTGCAAGTGGAGGTAAAACATTAACCACATATCTGATTAGCGACGATATATGTCAAAGATAAGTAAATGTCAGATAAAAGTTACTCAAATCAGACAAGTAAACCTAGTGCTAATGAGGCCAGTGTCACCACTCACCAGGAGTATGCAGGGCTATCAAACCTGGACTTTCAACTTCCCAGCTATTTGCTGGCACTGTTCTGGCTATCAGAACAGAAAACGCCTGCCTGATCAGCCAGATATTGGCAACAAACTTAACAGTATATTATTGATTCTAACCGAACTCAAAAGGAGAATTGGGAATCTAGACTCTACAGGCATATATTTCTACACAGCCTGAACACATCGAGAAACAAATTGACGTAAAACTCAAGGAGGTCTGTCGTCGTAGAGGAGGAGATGGAACGAGAATGTAGGAAGCTGCATTTAATCATACAAGGTCTGTACGAGGAGGAAGATGCGCAGAAGGTAGACCAGGTACAAGAGGTCAGGTCTGCAATGAAACCAGACAAAACAGCCACAGCCACCAAACATAACGAGACTTGAGGAGAAGACACGAAGAAGGATCTGACCTGTTTGAATAACAGTCAACTTGACGCCGGTTAAAAGAAAAATATGGAAAACAGTAAACTAATGAAACATAGTAAAGCGTTCAGAAAGATGCATATGTACCACGAACACACACTAAACGAGAGGGGAGCAAACGACAAACTATTAGTGGAGCATGAACAAGAACAATTACCTGAGAACAAGACGTGAGTCCGGTGAACAGAACACATATTTCTAAGGAACAGATAACTAGAAGGAAGCTCAGCTTCTCCAGGCAGTACAAGCAAGGCCACAAGACGTCGGAAACATGGAACAAATGCTATAAATACCTTAGCAAATGATACAAATGCTTTAAAAGGTGATGGGATTTTTACCATTTTCCCAAGGTTGTGTTGGTTTTGTTTTTGTACACGAATGCTGAGCAGTTGCCCAAAAGAAAACTTTCTGAGCTTTCAATCGGAGCAGAAACAGATAAACCAATGATTACAGGTGTAACAGAGGGGAAGACAAAAACTACATATGAAGCCCAGCATTCAGTTCTAATCAGATGCAAAAGGGAAGTTTTAACATATTTCCAACCAACCTGGAAAATGATACTGGAAGAAGAGTACTCCTATATGTGGGAAAGACTACCCCTGCAGTTGAGGTAAAACTGGCAACAGACTTCGAGGAGTGCTTGTTTGTAAAGGTGCGACTAAATAAGTATGACAATATGTTGTTATGGGTTAATAAAAATAATATATAGATCTACCAAAGGAACAGACCACAGACAAGAATAACAATCTCTTGCAGGACCTAATAAGTAAGAGAATTGACTGCTGAGCACTATACCTGCACACACTAACAATATTTCAAAGAATGTGCTGGTGGCCACTATACGCACACACACTAGTAGTAGTAGTAGTATGATGCTGGTGTAAACAGTTAACACATGTCACTAAAAGTTCACAAGCAGCACTGCTAAAAATAAACTACCATGCTACGCCCCCTGCCCCCTGCTTCTTCCCCACCTCTCACACAGCAACCTTCATGTTATCTATACTAGGTCATACTATACTATACTAGGTCATACTAGGCTATACTACCATACTATACTAGGTCATACTATTCATACTAGGTCAGAATACCAATGACGTTACAAAATAGGCTGGCAGCTCAACTTTTGCAGCATTATGAAAGAATTTGTAGGAAGGAAAGAATCAAGACACCCATAACACATCAACTGACTGCAGCCAGATAAACCAATTGAAGATGTACCCGAGCCACTCTGCTTTCTAAAAATTTGACCAAGTCAAATAAATGTTTTGAAAGAAAGATATTCATTGTCTAAATTTTTTTTAAATAACAATGCTAATTTTATTGCAAACAAATTTTCTTGTAACTGAAATTGAAGATGTAACAGTGTTATATGACTTTTAATCATTTATTGGCGGCTCGACTGTGCCTTTTGTAGATGACTGTGTCGAAGTGAAGCGCTACATAGTTAGCTAGATTGAGCCTAGGTTAGCTAGGTTGAGCCTAGCTCCAAGAAACGGTATTGCTAGGGTTAGAATACCGTTTCAAATTCTTGCCCATAAAAACGTGTAGTTGGCTCGGTATCCAAACATCGACACAGCTAGCGTCACATGTAATAGCTCAAACGAATCTATAAACCTCTGGCTTGTATGCGGTAACTCAATATAACATGTGCAAAACAGATGTTACACTACTTATTTATCGAGTTATGCCGTATTTTCTGAGATGAATTGGATCAAAACAACCAGACAGCCGCCATGTCCGCCATGTTCAGTGCGACTAAAATCGGCAATGGACCTGATTTTCACAGTGCGCAGGCCCAAACACAAGGCAATTTAGGCAAGTACATATCTTCGCAATGATAATTATAAAGTTGTTGTAGATTGATGTTTCCTGGTTTTCAATGTTTTAATATTTATATATATACGAGTATATGATGCTTATTTATGCTCGCGCCAACGCGAGTTGCAACGCTATGGTATGTTATGTCGTTTCGGGTTTTCCGCGTTCCGATCGAACAAGCATACACAGTGGAAACATGGTAGTTGGCGGTTGGTTGAAATTTAGGTTCGGCTCTTGAAATTTACACTGTGCACAGCAAACTGATGTATTAGTTTTAATAACAATGCCTGAATACTATAAGGTGAAAGTTATACTTAATACAAAACAAGGCAGAAATGTTTAGATGATTATTTTATTTGAGATATAAGTAATTGTTCGGCAGTTTTTGTAGAGGTACAAAATTTTCCAATGGATGGATGTCAGGCTGTATATTGACGTTAGTCACACATCCTGGTCGGGTTAGGTTGAGCCTAGTTCAAAAAATGTAACTCAACAAATCAGGATATGACAAAGTAGGATATGACAAGTATACACTGTTGGATTACATTACTTACTGTATCTAGGTCGAGCCCTGCTTCAATAAACAGTCATATATAGTGAACGACCAGCGTATTGACGTTACTCGTTAGTCTCGCAAGCCTGGTCAAGTTAGGTTGAGCCTCACCTTACCAGGCTCTACTTATGACTGTATAGTGTATAACGTCGTTTCATTTCCTTCCACGCAGCGATAAGCGATAAGTTTACTTGTGGCTAGGTTGAGCGCCATGCTGCAGACTCCTAATCCACGATACGACAACTGGTAACATACACTGATACCACAGGCACTTGAACTTGCAGCGTTTCAATAAAATATATATGCAGGGGTCGTGTGCTGTGCACGGCGACAGTTAAATATATAGCTAACGCTAACGCTAGTTATATATATATAGTTATATATGGCTATATATTTAACTGTCGCCGTGCACAGCACACGATCACCGCGTATATATTTTATTGAAACGCTTCAAGTGCCTGTGACTGATACAAGGGCCCATTCCTATTTGACAACCCCAGGTTTAAAAACCCTAACCCTAACCCTAACCAAACTCACGACATGGGTGTGTAAACGCTACTTGTACCGATACATCATACAGAAACACGGAGACGAGACGTGCAGAGAAATCAAAAGTTTGGCCTCGTTGAGGAAACGCGTCGTCAGTTCTACAACATCCACACGTATTACTAGCACACTACAACGTGCCAATTAACCCAGATATCGCCAACTAGGACTTGTTGAAGTTGTTCAACGGCAAGAAGTAAGTGCACCATTCATTGATTCAAGACATTCAAGAGTAAACAGAACCTTGAATCCTTGAACTGAGCTCCTGAACAGAACAGCTGGAAAATTACGAAGACTTTTCCAGTCGTTTTACCAACGATTTAAAGAACTCACGATCGTAGCAGAAAGCAACCGACACTCTCACAGTGATCTTCTCAACTACCAAAGTGTTATACCGTCTTCTAAACTGCTGAATACATGATAAGTGCTATTATTTCACACACGAGTTCACAACAAACGCACACAACAGTATCGTCAACACAGTTCATTCGCTTGCACTAAAGCTGGCCATTTATTCAATATTCGTCATAGAAATGTATATTAATTATTAAAAAAAGATAAATAAAAATAGTTCAATACTGTACATACAAAAAGTAATAATTTAATCCAAAACAGTTATTTTTATTACGAGCTTGGTTTAAAAAAAACAAAATATTTGGAAAAAACAAAATCTTCATCAGCTGTGAAATTATAACCATTTTATCCAATCAGAAGCCTTGTTACATATAATTCACCGCAGGTTGTCACATATTATCCAACCAAAAATCTTTTTGCGTACAAGTTATCTGCTAATAAGTTGTAGTTTACTAGTTATAGCATAGATATATCATATAGAATACAGATTATATATGATCTGTGCTGTCATGTATAGCAAAGTGCATAGGAAATGGGGTCGGGGGAGTTGTTAGACATGTTTCCTAGCATTGAAATATGCTCTGCCGATCTTATACGATTAAAAAAGATCGGCTGGCGAGAAAAAGGTGTGCAGAGCAAATTCTCATATCAGCATTTCAAGTAAGCGGAAACACTGCCATTCGCCTGCCCCTAATCTGATGTTTAGGAAAGGAACAAGACACACGTTACCTTCTCGCTTCTCACTACGTGGAAGAATAAGACGTGAAACAGCCGTCACGTGGGGCCTGGCCGGGCTAGGGGATTTATATCTGTTTTGCTCAGTTTCGATGTTTTCTCGTACCGCTCTGTTCGGTAGTTATAGGTACCCAAAGATATTGAAAATGGCTGCGCCCGATGGAAACGGCACGAGTTTACTGTCTGCGTTATACACTCGGGTCATTGCCAATACTGAGAACCCTGAAAACTATTTAAGGTAATGTTGTTGGTGAGGTGACTAGGTTTATTTACATATAAGTAAATATTACATAATCAGGTTGCTAAGAACGTCGCTTTGATAATAGTAACGCACGTCGGATCAAGGATATAGTTTGGTACCCCGCAAATCTGTTTTCGCATTTGTCCTAAACTAAGTCGGGGTGCTAAATTAGGCTTGGGCCGGTCTTAGACTAGATGTAGTAGTAGTAAGATGAAGTGTAGTGTGTGTGTGACACTTTACAGGCTATATTAGGTCCGATCTTGGACCACAACCACTTTCAAGAGCCGTTCGTTTCTATAATAAAATGATCGCAGTGGCTACGCGTCTGGAACCGGCCGCGTAGCCTCCAGGCTACGAATCCGGACAACCACTCGCACACAACGACTCGCGTACACGCATGATTGCGCAACGGGACGCTCTGCTGATTACAGAGAATATACAATATATGCATTGCTGCCGTCTATCCTTTCATCCGTCCTCTCTCGCTCTCTCTCACGCATACACACACATACACATTTCTTCTCTCTCTCTCTCTCTCTCTCTCTCTCTCTCTCTCTCTCTCTCTCTCTCTCTCTCTCTCTCTCTCTCTCACGCACACACACACACACTCTGCGATCAGCAGAGTATCCCGTTGCGCATACATGCGTGTACGTGTCACAAGATAGATCACTGTGTGAGATGGATGTTCGGACACGTAGCCATGTCGTACCCAAACTTGGAATCTGCACAATCTCGAGATTGTGCAGCGATTGTGCTGCCCAAACTGCGGATTCCCTAGTTTGGCTGACCAATCTCAAGATTGGGCAAACTGAAAACAGTCGGTGATTCAACAACCGCTCATAGCGAGTGTGTGGCGTGCATGGTGCAAACTAGGAAGAGATTTATCTCATATTTATCCAATTATTTATTATAATTATTTAATATTTATACAAAGGTGCCAAACACATTGAGGAAAGAAGGTATACAACCTTATAGTTATGATATAACATTTGAAATCCTAATACTCATATGTTTGTGCAAGCCCTGTTTACCTCTGTTTGCCCAATCTCAAGATTGGTTGCCCAAACTGCAGATGCGCTGAAATTCCAAGTTTGTGCAAGATTCCAAGTTTGGGCACAACAGCCACGGCCTAAAATGATTGATGATAAATAAACATATAATAATGCGGGGATTTGGAACTGTTTGAGAGGCTACATAATAATTTCTACGTATACATAGCTGCCCATGGGTCCGATCTATCAAATAAAGTGGGTATTGAAATTTCGACCGAAACTCGCCTCCCAACCCTAACAGTATCCTTGACAAATTACATGTAAGGCTGGTACATAATAAATTTTCAGATAAAGCAAAGCCATTGATTATTGTATTTCACTATTTATTAATAATAATATTACCACCTATCTAAGTCGTAATATTAATGTCAATTTGTTCTCTATTACCTAATAATTCCACTTAAAAATCGTTTAAATGCGCCTCACAAACATTAACACGTTATCTCCCAACACGCACGATATTTTGACAAATGGGGTGGTCAATCTCTAAGCAGTCGAAACGGAAAAAAGTTTAATGTTGATAATGTGAGTTGTGACAACATTATACGCACTGTGCACAATGCAGTTAATAGAGGTTTAAAGATTACAGCATGTATCGGAATAAGTTTCATTGTGGTTTTAAGTTTAAATTTCAATTCACAAATATATTTCAAGTGTTAATTAAGGTACATGAGTAATAGTGCAATTACTGTTGTTGAGAATATATATAATACTTCGGTTGTACATGAACCAATGCCTTTCATTTTCTTCTTGTATCACAGCTTGCAACAAGAAGCTGCAGATGAATTTAAACTGTTGACCAAGACTATATATGACTTTACAAAGTGCAACGAGGCATCTGTGAATAAAGGCACCGATGCTAGTGAAGCTCTTCCCGAGTTGATCGTAGACAATTTTGACGATGAACAAGTCTGGCAGGAGGTCGAACTTCAGAACCAGGCACGCATCAGCCGGCTGCTAAAAGATGTTGCCAGAGTGCGTGCGATACCTGGTGACCTGACCCTCGGTGTTGGTGGCAACGACAGTGAAACTCGCCCATCTGCCACTCATCTGACGTCGAGTGAGACATTAGAGCCAGATGACGATGCTGACTCGGACAGTGCATCATCTGACAATGGCAGCAAAGGTTCCAGCGTCGTGGACAAGCTTGAGCCACCGACAAAGCAGAGCAGCGGCCAAATAGAAAGCGGCTCTGATTCAGAGATCGACTTTGACTTTGATTTACTACGAGACGATTTCGAGACCTCGGAAAAGGATGCTGCGAGCGACGATGGTGAGGCAGGCGCTTCTGATCCGGGATCAGAGGAGGAAGAGGAACCAGGCCTGCGTCCCAGCAAGCGGACAGGTCGAACAATCGTCGATGATGCCTTCTTCAGTTTGGCAGAAATGGAGGAATTTCTCGAAGAGGAGGACCGAAAAGAGATGAGAAGGTCACAGGGAGGGTCGGCTTCCAAAGATGATGACGAGGACGTAGACATGTTCCAAGACATTCCATCCAGCGACGATGATGAGGAGGTTGGTACTTTCTTGCAGTTTCTTCTAATTTCATCAGATTTTTTTCTATATGACATATTAAAATCTCTATATACATGTATAGGGTTAGGCTTAGGGTTGGGGATTGTTCTGATCATTTATGCGAGCAAGGCTTTTATGTAACACTTGATGCCAATGTACTCCATCAACATTGTATTACATGCATTTGGTTGTTATTTTATCATCTTTTGAATGGAATTGATTATGCTCAAAGCTCTGAATTAAAGAGGAGATAAGATATAATTTGGAATCAGAGTTGTGAGTTTCGAGAAATGGCGTTTGAAAAATCAGCAACTTCAGCATTTTAACAATGGAGATATTAGCACTTTTCTCAATTTTCCATGATTGAACCCCTGTGTTAAGAATTAACCTAATGCGGGGATTTGGAACTGTTTGGGAGGCTACATAATAATTTCTACGTATACATAGCTGCCCATGGGTCCGATCTATCAAATAAAGTGGGTATTGAAATTTTGACCGAAACTCACCTCCCAACCCTAACAGTATCCTTAACAAATTACATGTAAGGCTGGTACATAATAAATTTTCAGATAAAGCAAAGTACTAGAGACTTCAAATATAATGACTTCTTTGCACCACCATGTGGAAGTATTGAGAGAGAAGAACAAGAAGAACTGAGAAGTCATGATGAAAGGTAGTAGTCAGCTCAAAATGCTTCAATGGGAATCCCATATATGTGCATTAATTGTGTGCAAAATATTTTCAGAACATTAAGATTGTTGGGGATACTAATGTAATTAAATATACTTGCAGTTATAAATTATACTCTTGAATCTATTATTCCCACACCAATGTCCGAGTCAATTCTGTGAGAATGCTTTTTAAAGAATGCAGCAACTTGGTAATTATAAATTTAGCTTGTGGTTGAGGTTCAAGGTACAATCTTTTTTAGTGATGGCCAAGAGCAAGAAATGAAACAAATTGAAGAGGAAGAATCAAGTGAGGGTGAATACGCGGAGGAAATCATGGGTGGAAAACGTAAAGACGAGGAGAAATCAGCATTTCAGAAACGCCAAGATAGGGTAAGCATTTACTCCTGCATAGCTTCACTTTTACCTTTACCGTGCTAGCTGTCTCAATTTGCATTGTAAGCAGTTACCTCTGCATTGCTTCACTCTTTACTTTACAATGCTTGTGGTTTCGTTTTGTACGGTAAACAGTTGCATCTGCACAACTCAACCTTAACTTTACTAGTTATTTTTGGTTTGCATGATGGGTGATAGTCGTAACAAAACATGAGACTACTGCAGGATAGCCGTCAGTATGATTCTGCACTCATTCTGTGACAGATCAATGAGAGGATAGCGAAGATGGACGAGGTCAGACTCGCAGAGAAGCCGTGGCAGCTGGCGGGTGAAGTAACAGCATCCAAGCGACCCGAGAACAGCTTGCTGCAGGAGCACGTTGAGTTTGACCAGACCGTTAAGCCAGGTACACACGAAAGCCGCGTGAATTCACAGGGTCGTCGAAACCGATTCTGGTGATCGGCAAGCGGGAACCACTTGCATTGTCCGGCCTCACTGATGAGTGAACAGTAAGCGTCGCATATTAACAGGGTTGTATATAGGCCAGGTTTGAGCCAGGTTGCTTATCAGGCACATACACAATCCGAATGAAGACTGAATGCAGGTATTTACCCCTATTTTCACAATTAGGTTGTATATTTTTCTACAACGGCCATCGTCTCTTGTCAAAACTGACAAAGGCACTCAAAATGCTACATTTTTCGCGACACAGCGCCGATCGTAACGGAGGAGGTGACAAAGTCGCTGGAGGAGCTGATCACGCAGCGCGTAAAGGACCAGGCGTGGGACGACGTCGAGCGGAGGAAGAAGGCGACGACCGATGCGCAGGAGTACAAGAAGAAGGTCATCCTTGACCAGGAGAAGAGCAAGCTCAGCCTCGGCGAGATCTATGAGCAGGAGTACATCAAGAAGACGCAGGTTCGCTACCGACGCGCGCGAAGCAGCGCGCGTTGTCGTCTTTGTTGTTGTCATTTTTGTGCCAGTATTTTTACGTTGTGTTATGTATTGCAATTTTTGTGGCACGTGTGTCTGAGTATGTGGTATTTGGTAGGCTGAGAAAGAAGAAGTGGAAGATCCAGAGCATACCGCGATCAAGAAGATGATGAATGATGTATTCAGCAAACTAGATGCTCTGTCAAACTACCAGTACAATCCGAAGGCGGTAAGGTCACTTTGTTAATTTTACTACTAACAGATAATTTTGTGATCAGTTTTAACAACATAATCTTTTAATCCAATGATAATTTTTAGTGTTTTATGCAATTTTTTGTTTTGTTTTCTTGAGTAATCGTTTTAGTTTTGCAACATTTACGTGTGAAACCTGATTGCCTTTACAGCCTACGCCTGAGATTAAAATAATATCCAACCTACCGTCGATTACAATGGAGGATGTAACACCAGCTGCAGTCAGCGATGCCACCCTGCTAGCCCCAGAAGAAATCAAGGTCAGCTGTGCTAAATCAAACCTCAAACACGATCATTCTCTGTAGGATTAAAAATTCCCAGACAAATTTGCCAATCACAACTAGTATACCCTTGTATTAATGTGATAATTTTTATATACGTCACTAGGAGGTGCCACCTGCACTCTACATATTACGTTTTTTACGTTGACTTTATGACAGGTACCATATCAGGCCATATATCACATAAAACAGATCAGCTGTTTGGCTTGAACATGAATTGGGAAAAATGGCAAAATAATATTTTACGAAAGTCTAGCTTTAAGTTATTAGCCGTGTGCATGCATTGAAATTGTTGTGCTTGATTGTCATATAACAGCAATGGAAGGTAAAATGAACTAATTTGATTCAAGTTTCTGAGTTTTATGGAATTATTGTTTATATATTATCCCGTGTTGTCACCTATTATGTGTGCAATTTCAGGAGAAATCTGGGAAAGAAGTGAAAAACTCCTCAGAGAAGACGGTAACTGATCGTAAGAGAGAACGCCGAGAGAAGAAGGCGCGTAAGCGCGCACGCCGCGTGGAGAAGGAGAAACGGGAGAAACTCGTATCAAAGCTCCAACCAGGCCTTGGCAACAAGTTCTCTAAGGATAAGGCACTCAAAGCACTAGCACAGGAGGGTGACAAGACCACCATTGTAAAGGTAATTATGTGTTTTTTATTTGTTTGAATTTGTCATGTGAATACATCTTTTCGAACATGGTAAAATGTAGAGGTTTTGACCCACTGTGATGGATAGTCACTGACAACAGTATTTGAATGGTCTTAGCCATGCATAAAGACCATGATGTTATATCTAGTGAACATCGGTTTAATTATTTTGCATCAATTAAATTTGTGTATGAACAATTTACTCTTATAGGACACAGGCAGGAGAAAACAAGTTGAATTCAAATCTTCAAAGGCATTCTTTAGTAAGCTGCAAGACGAAGTTACTTCTCATGTAATAGGTCACAAAGTGAAGAGCAAAAGTAAAGAAAAGAAGACGGTATCTGCAAGTAAATTAAAACTTTAGTACCTTTTATTTGCTGATATTTAGTAACACACCAAGTATGTTTTCCTATTAATAATATCATGAACATATGTGTAATAGTATACATGTTTATTATAAATATCAATAGAATTGCACTGGCAGACTGGTTATACAAAAAGTTAGAAATATTGTAGTAAATTAGTGGCTGAAATTAATAAAAATACTATACAAGACATTTTGTACAAAAAGGTTTTGATTTTTAATCATGATGTCATGCCTTTTATAGCTACCTTGTATGACATATTCTGGATTGAAATATGCTTTAAGTCAGGGTCATGTAGCATTTTATCCCTTTGAAACCAGTAATTGCAAATTCCAAGTGAAATGAAAAATGGTTTGCCGTAACAACGTTCAGCACTCATTCAAACGAAGTTTCTGCATAGATAAGGGGCACCAATCATACAATATCTGGGTAATGGAGAATGCTGATATATGATGTAAACACTCGCAGTGTGCGCTAATGAACTGGTTTCGCTGGCGTTTTCTGGAACTTGGCTCTACCACTGTTAGGGTTAGGGTTAGGGTTATGTAGTTTATGTGTGTCTGTTATGTAGCCCCTTCGCTGCTACAGGGTAGCGAAGGCTCAAGGCTCAAGGAGAGCGATCTGGCTCCAAGCCTGTACATAAAGATGTTGACCACCTGCAGGATTAGGAATGTACCAGCACCACATTTCTGGCCCTTTAAAGTACATGTTGATCCACGCCAGCACTTTCGCATGCATGCATCCGCTGAGTTCCGAATAAAACCATAGTTATACTACAAGTCGCAGCCTTTGATTGCTATGTAAGCCTAAGGTAATGTTTGAACAGACATGCTGGATACATGAAACTGCGTTTTCTGCCAAATTTGGCTGCGCAAGGGCTTGATTCCGCTTTAAAATGATTTAAAAATAGGAAATAATGATAGCACTTTAGTGGGCATCCTTGTATTGCTCACATACAATACATGAGAGGCAGTGTGGTCGACAGTTATGGTTGTGATTTTCAAATATTGACTTGGTCAATTTATCTGTGTGCATATCTGGCCAATAGTTTGAAAACCCAGAGTCATGACCTCTTAATAAACACCAGCAGGTCTAAATAATAAGATATGATGAAATCGACAGATCACCACTGAAATCGACACTGTATGGTGCTGCCGTCTCGCGCGTAAATTGACGACGGTGCTGCCTCTATTATAGAATTCGTTCACAATTTTACCAATAGATGTCATCTCTATTTAAATCACTTCGGTATTTTCCGGCGCGGACGGTACCTGCATCATCAAAGATTTCGTGTTTGTGGCTGAGTGCGGTTGAATGTCAACATCAGCGGCTCGGTCCGAATTTGTTGAGTTCGAGACAGTCACTGCATTAGCCTGAGCAGGAAACCAACAGAAACCGCCGATGGAACAGACGGAAAGTAGCCTGGACGGCAGCATGGTAAGGACTAGGAGTAACTGAAACTTAATTGGCAACTAGCAATTTTGGTCGCATTGTAACACATAAGCCCACTTCAAAACTTTATGACCTAACTAAAGTAACTTTGTTTCGTTGCGTATGCCCATTGTTGCTGCAATGCTGGCTTGTCGTCCCACTTTTGTACAGCTGGACATTATTTGTGCATAGCAGTTGAATTTCTACATCTGTTACGTAGCGTTTGGTACTACACCAGTTGCTACATCGGAGTGTGTACTCCAACTAGACGTTACGAGCGTGGTTACACAACGTTTAGTGTTTCAATCGTTTGCACTATTCCCACTATTACACTAAGTGACTAACACTAACGCAGAAGGGGTCGCTGTCGTATCAGGTACTACAGATGGGGGCAGCCCTATAGACCGAAGGTCCGATAGACCGAATATTGCAAAGGGTTAGGGTTAGGGTTGGGGCATATATATGCCATGGTTTATAGTGGCATCATATGATTTATAGTGGCATCGGTGGATGTGCGGCATATTCACGTTCGAATACGGCATCAGTGGATGTCTGGATGCGTAGCCTGGAGGCTAGGTGACCGATTCCGGACGTGTAGCCGGGGTGTAGCCAATGCGTATTCGAATATACCTTCGGTCTATCGGACCTTCGGTCTATCGGACCTTCGGTCTATAGGGCTATAACCCTACAGATATGTACCCGAGGTAGTTTTACGTTGTTTAGTATATTATGTTTATATTTTTATATGAGGTATGTTTAGGGTTATAGTGTTAGGGTTAGGGGTATAGGGTTAGGGCTAGGGTTAGGGTTAGGGTACACTTCTGTAGTACAAGTCTGGTACACTGTGTATACATATATGTACCTCGGGTACATATCTGTAGTACCTGATACGACAACGACCCCTTCAGCAACACTAACAGTAGTAACTCGGCCCTGGGTATAAGTTCGGAAAACTTCAGGTTAGTCACGTGTACTCATACTCATAGTCATACCAAGGCCGGATTTTTTATCATCGGGAATTAGAAGTTTCACCGTACACGTACATCATTAAAAGTAGTGAGCCTCCGTGTTGACAAAATGTATGTGCAGTCATTTGTGGCTATTTTTAAATTTGTGATATTTCTATTTTTTATGTGAGGCAATTATGGTCAACTCATGATGAAGTAACCATTTGCACTGTTAATACGATTTTTCTATTTTTGAATTCAGCGAATTGTAACTGAATTATTACTTCATTGAAAGTAATATAAATAATTCATCCTTATCCATTCACGATAAATTCACTTGTTAGTTTTCACACTGTGCAACTGCGGTGCATAATAACCACCACATGGCGCTGTTACCTTGCCTTCATGCTTCTCTATAGTACATATACAGTGTACCAGGACTTGCTTATAGATCCCAGGGACCTAGCCTGCAATGCAAGGCCACAGTAGGAGTTTGGTTATGTGACACCTCTAGTCGTATAGTTCCTTCCAATGTCAGCTCGACTGATATGATTCTGCTACATAGTACAATTTACGATGAAGGCACGAGAGTTTAGTTGTCGGGGGACAGAAGATAATGTATTATAATGACTGTACATAGTACTGGTCCGTACTAGGGTTTAATGTGAGAGCACTCGCGTGAATTTTCGTGTGGGTGTAGACAGTGCATCACAATTCTGCGCAGAATTCCCCTAGGGCGAACCGCGCTTAAACCTGCACCGGTTGTTGATTCTGAATGCGCAGTCGCTATCGCGAAATATAGCCGTTCTCAAGTGTACACTGCTCTGCCTAATTGTAACTGAAACTTACCGGACGCCCACTGTATTCACATTGACCCTGAGGTATTGTTAGATGCTGGCAGTCAACCTATACTGATGGGCATCAAGTATGACCCTTTAAGAAGCTATTGTACTTATACAGCTCTGTACTGTATAACTGGAGCATAATGTAGGATAGTCAGTGAGGCCACAATTATTGTGTATCTCTGCGTGTATCTATTACACACTGACTAGGAATATGTAACAAGGCTCGAGAGATCTATCGAGAGTATGCTGATTCGCTGAATACTGGCACAGCCCTATATGTAAGATGTCCATTTTTTTCTTGAAAGCATAGTTGTTAGGAAGAGTGTAAGAAATTAAAATATTGCAAGACGCCTTTTTTCACATGTGTTTTTTTATATATCAAATTCCATCGGGTATTATCGACACAAGTTGGTTGTTACACTTGTTATAAGGGCCAAGAAACTGGAAAGTTTAGATGAAGAAGAGATCGGTGGCTAATTAGTATTAGTGAACGTCATGTCCAGCATTTTCGCCCCTCCCCCATTACCATTGTCTTCCCCCATCACAGAGTGTTTTCACCCATCACCCATATCTTATATCTCAATCATCACCCATGTTTCCCCATCATCTACGTCTTCCCCTTCACCCATCGTCCATGTCCTCCCCTTCACCCATCGTCCATGTCCTCCCCTTCACCCATCGTCCATGTC